GAACCCGATATGTATATCTTACTACTCTGGAAGTATAGATACAGAGGTGTTTACTTGGGTCTCTGGGGGACTAGAAGGGATCGAATACCATCTAGTCGGTGTGAGTGACTAGGTAGGAGGTAATCGGATACCGTCTGGCATCCCACTGGAGGAGGATCCCCGTCCCTTGTTTGTCGTCTCTGGCTGCCACTCTCCTCCTCTTCCCCCTTACCTGAACTTATTGATTTCATCGACATGTTGCACTCCAGCGGCATCACCAAGAGTGAGGAAGTCGAGTTGGGAAAAGAGAGAGAGAGATATAATAATAATAAACGGTTTATTAATAGAGTTGCAGCCGGTGGCTGAAAATATAAACTTAATATGAATTAGACATAATGATATACGTTCAATACATTTACAGGGTTGTACAGTACATAAATCAGGAGCTCTGTGTGTGTGTGTGTGTGTGTGTGTGTGTGTGTGTGTGTGTGTGTGTGTGTGTGTGTGTGTGTGTGTGTGTGTGTGTGTGTGTGTGTGTGTGTGTGTGTGTTGGTGTATGTGTATATGTGTGTGTATATGTGCGTATGTTAGAATAAATAAAAAATACGTGCGTTAATCATCTCGGGGGAAAATATTTTAATTATTCCACATGCTATCCTATACTTGGCAGTTAATCCATATTCCTGGGAAAAATAGACTAACATACGCATTGACCTTTAAGCGGGGATCCTCGAATAGCAGATGAGTGTATCCTTGACCTTATTTAGGTGTTTGTTATGGCCAAGAATACCATCAGTAAAGGTCACGGGAAATAGCTTTGAGAGGGTGAACTTATTATTATTATTATTATTATTATTATTATTATTATTATTATTATTATTATTATTATTATTATTATTATTATTATTGATATTATTATTATTATTATTATTATTATTATTATTATTATTATTATTATTATATTTACTATTCGCTGCTTCCAGTCAAAATATAAATAATTCCATAATAAAGTAGAGACTTAGATAACCGAACAGTACAGTTCAATCGTGTGAGCCACATCTTAACACTACCACATGTAACACTACCAACTGACAATTTCCCCCCCCCCTGGACTAAATCCCAGCTGACAATTTCCCCCTGAACTAAATCCCAGCTGACAATTTCCCCTCTGGACTAAATCCCAACTGAAAATTTCCCCTGGACTAAATCCCAACTGACAATTTCCCTCTGGACTAAATCCCAACTGACAATTTCCCCTGGACTAAATCCCAGCTGACAATTTCCCCCTGGACTAAATCCTGCTGACAATTTCCCCTGAACTAAATCTCAGCTGATAATTTCCCCTGGATTAACTGGATCAAATTAGATTAGGTTAGGTTAGGTTGCTTTACTGGATTAGGAAAGTTGGTTGGATAATGTTAGGTTTGGTTGGGTTGGTTGGATAATGTTAGGTTGGGTTGGTTGATAATGTTAGGTTTGGTTGGGTTGGTTGGATAATGTTGGGTTTGGTTGGGTTGGTTGGATAATGTTAGGTTTGGTTGGGTTGGTTGGAATAGGTTTGGTTGGGTTGGTTGGGTAATGTTAGGTTGGTTGGATGTTTGGTAATAGGTTTGGTTGGGTTGGTTGGATAATGTTGGGTTTGGTTGGGTTGGTTGGGTAATGTTGGTTTGGTTGGGTTGGTTGGATAATGTTAGGTTTGGTTGGGTTGGTTGGATAATGTTAGGTTTGGTTGGGTTGGTTGGATAATGTTGGGTTTGGTTGGATAATGTTAGGTTTGGTTGGGTTGGTTGGATAAGTTAGCTTTGGTTGGGTTGGTTGGATAATGTAGGTTGGGTTGGTTGGATAATGTTAGGTTTGGTTGGGTTGGTTTTATTAGGTTAGGGTAAGGTTAATTCAGGATAGGATGGGTTAGGTTAGGATAGAATTCTTGTCCAACAACCTCAGTCGTTGGAGTGTAGTTTTCACGGCCTGAAGGAGGCATTTTAGGATTTTCCCAGACTCGGAGACGAGATTGGGCAGGATACCAAGGAGAGAGAGAGGACTATAATATAATTTTAAGTCACCATGAATTATTATATAAATATTTACTTTAAGATTTCGTGCTTATATAACTACTGTTTATTGTTATTCACTTAATTATAATGTAAAAAAAATATAAAAAAACAAGAGCTTCGATCAGGCTTCAAAATTGTACCATCACTGTCCGTTAAGTTGGCTGTCCGTTAAGTTGACTTTCCGTTAAGTTGACTGTCCGTTAAGTTGACTGTCCGTTAAGTCGAGTGTCCGTTATGTAGGTGGGTGTAGTCGCTTCGTACGGGATGGTCAGTGACGTAATTACTGTTGTTGTTGTTATCGTTCCGTCAGCTGATCCGTTGCCATGACGATTTCCTGTGTGGGTGACGCTACTACTTAAGCTGATGAAAATTGTCAACCATATTCTGTCATTTTCTGATATTTCGTGAGGTGAATTTCCAATCACCTGAAGATTAGGCCCTCCAGCTTATTTCACCTAAAGAGTAAACACCATAACGTGAATTTAACCTAACCTAACCTAACCTAACCTAACCTAACCTAACCTAACCTAGCCTAACCTAACCTAATCTAACCTAACCTAACCTAACCTATTCCCACCAGGCAGTGTTAAGAGTGTTTAAGCATCAGGTAAACTACTCGTAATCTGGGGTGGGGGGGGTAGGTAATCGTAACGTGATATTAATCCACCTCAAGTTAATGCTTTTTGATGTTATATTAAATTAGGTAGACACACTGTTGGATGTCTTATTATTTATTTATATATTTATTTATTTATTTATTTACTTATTTACCCCGTGAAGGATTTTATTATTTTTTTCTCGCGGGGATAAAGATTTTAGTCTGCTCAGTGCTTGTCCAGTCGTCTCAACCAATAATAGTCCGGTGCTGAGTAAGGTGAAGAGAAAAGCAATGTTTTTTTTTTATTATTACGGTTAAATAGAGGAAGTTACTGTCTTTTTCAAATCACATAATGGCCTTGTTTCAGCTTGTATTTGGTCTTATGTTATGTTATGTTATTATATACAAAAAAAATAACGTTGATTATAGAAAAACACGTATGACTCTTCAGCTCATTGTGTAGTGATCGGATTAACAAAAAAAAAGGTTCGTATACGATAAATAAATCTTCTTAACTATTTGACATAATACAAAACACCCCAAAAAAAACTCCATTTCGTAATTTTATTTTCTAACATTGGTATTTTTTTTTGGGCGATGCTCTTTTGTTATGTTTTACACCTTAGGTCATTGGGTGTATTATTATTTTTACACATATACTTACGTACCTTAACATAGAAACCCTTATGACTTTAACCACAGATTCTCAATCGGTTAAAGACAAAACTTTATAATTACTCCAGTCTCAATGCAATTTTACCCGCCATCTTTACTTCCCTTACTTAACGAAGCCAATTTCCTACACTGTCGCATTCGAAGTTGAACGAATCCAAATAATGAATCTTTTATGGATCAACTGTTAGTCTTACGTTCTATAATTATCTCATGACTAACTTCAACTGAAACACAAAGGCAAGAAGTTACAAGGAGAACTTTTACCACAACTACTATAGGATACGTTCACTATAGGATACGTTCACTGTAGGATACGTTCACTGAGGAAACGTTCACGGATTCCTGTAGGTGCTGTAGGAGATAATGATAACACACACACACACACACACACACACACACACACACACACACACACACACACACAGGGATGTTGACGAAAAGATATGGGTGGTTTTTTTTCTTTCTCTAAACTAACTGGTGGTAAGTTATCGTATCAAGGTTAGATTAGGTTAGGTTAGGTTAGGTTAGGTTGGGTTGGGTTGGGTTGGGTTGGGTGGTAAAATTTCACTGGTAATTTGGAAGAGTGATTTCTATACTACAAGTTAAATTAGACAGGTGTATAGACTTTCATCTACCTGTAAACGTTGATCTACTTGTAAACATTCATCGACTTGTATATATTCATTTACCTGTAAACATTCATCTACCTATAAACATTCACCTACCTGTATATATTCATCTACCTGTAAACATTCATCTACCTGTAAACATTCATCATTGTGGAATACGAACGCAAAACTGTATATCTAGGCACTGACACCCCCTCCCCCCCCTCCTCCTCCTACCCCCTATTTTCAATCACAGAAAATTTATGGAAATCGAAATATACTTTCTCGAGGAATCAATGAATGGCAAATGAGTTCAGGAGAGACGAAGGGATCCCGAGAGAGTTGTTGAGGGAGTGAGTGCTGGGAGAGTCATCAAAAATGCCTTCGTTCTCGTCGGATATAAGAATCGTGGGTATTTGTCTTGTGTATATGGGAGAGTCACGGGCTGAGCTGGATGATGTATTTCAAGTTGTCTTTATTATTTGTTTTTATTGTTTTTCTTTTTTTTTGTATGGTTTACTATTTCATTTATTTTTTATTAAAGGGTTATGGTTTAACCCTTTGAGGATAATGGTTTAATATTTTGAGGATGATGGTTTGACGGTTGTTTGAGGTCATTGGTTTAACAGGATGATGGTTGGTATTTAATGCCTCCAGGCGGGTGTTTCTTTTTATTTAAATGGAGGTTTAATTCTTTGAGGATGATGGTTTATCTTTTAAGGCCGATGTTTATTTTTACTGAAGGACGATGTCTTAACCCTTTGGGATGATAACTTAACCATCGTCCCCAGAGTGTTGAGGCTTGGTGGTAGACCAAGGGAGGTGTCGAGTGTGTGTGTGGTCTGGGGATGAAGTAAGGAGTTGATCTCACTTGTGTATTTACCGAAAGGCGGCGACAAACACTGTCCAGTGCTACATAAAGCAACAGCAGAGTAGCGGCAACAGCAACAACAGCGATAACAGCAGCAGCAACAGCAGCAACAGCAACAGCGGTAACAGCAGCAGTGGTAGGAATGGAGTATAGGTAGGAGAGATGTAGCGGTGGTGGGTATAGCGTGACGCTGACCGTGTTGTTCTCCCCCCAAG